GTATTTTACCTTTCCTGGCATCGTCCTCGCGCTGGCGCGAGATGAGCAGGTAGCGCGGCGACTCCGGGCAAATGGGCAGGAGGATGAGCTGGAGGATGGCCGGGCAGACGGCCAGCCCGAGCAGGAGGGGCCAGCCGTCGGGCGTGCCCAGGATCTGCTCGATCCCTAGGATCTGGGACAGCAGGAGTCCCACGGTCACAGCCAACTGATTCACCACGCCCAGCCCGCCACGCAGGTTCAGAGGCGCGATTTCACTTATGTACATCGGGGCCAGGGACGTGTTCAGCCCTGCATTACAGTATATGAATCACCATCAAACAAGAGACCACAATGCAGATGCACACATGCAGAAAACCGAAGTGAAGAAGCAGAAGAACAAGACGATTCAAAACGAAAAAAAAACTTGTCCATCTTCCATATCTTCGGGGGGAAAATTTTTGAAGCCAGCACAGAATCTTGATGAATAAAAAAACATTCCTGAAGTTCTATAATCGAAAGATCAGGTACGGTACACGAGAATATCTTTTCAAAATTCATCAACAAAATTTTCAAGCTCCGGAAAGAAACTTCTTCTCCGTTTAAAGAAAATTATCCACAGAATTTTTGTCATTTAGAATTAAATTTCAAAAACATAGGACTACCCAGTTATCAAGACGTCGTGTGATAAAACCTCCTTTATTCCATCTTCATCGAGATTGGATAAGAAGTGAGCCACCATTTTGATCTTCCATCATGGGAAAGGAAGAGGAGACGGAAACAATACCAATTTTCAGAAAAGAAGCAAAAATTGCTCGAATTGATTAAGAATTTGCAAAAGCTTGCTTTTTTCATGATCGGGAGGGAAGCTTACCGCAGTTTATTCCAATGAGGAATCTTCCGAATATGAGCATTTCATACGAGAAGGCCATTTTTGTGAATCCCATGACGCATCCGCCCGCTATTCCTAACAAGTTATTGAGCAAAAGACCACCTCGTCTGCAAAAAAAAAAAAAGGAATCAAAAATATGCATAGCATTGTAAATTAAAAATGCATAAATGAGCCAAAATTACACGCATTTTCACACGGTGATGGTATTTTTCAAGCCAGGTTTTTTTCGCCATGGCTTCGAGTGACTTTTAATTTAGGAAACCCTTTGAAAATTCTCAGTAAATACAGTACAGTATTCGTATCGTACAAAATGTACAGTATTAAAATTATGCGCATCGTTTGCCATTTTTGTAAAAAAAAAAATCGGGAACAGCAGACTAATAGAAAATGCAAATAAAATTCAGCATGCGTTGCTGGTCGAGTTCCTGTTGAGCAAATTTTCTAAAGGAGAGCTTTATTATCGTAAAATTTCTTTCTGTACTGCCCTTGAGTTTCCTGATATCCCATAACTTGGGATCATTATTCCATACCTTCCGAATCGATTGGCAATGAAACCGCCTGCGAAGCCGCCGATCATCCCGCCGATCGCGAAAACGGACACGGCGACAGACCACAAGAAATCCTTGATTCCCTTGTCGATCTTCTCGCCGTATCTCTTTGACCAGATTTCCGCAATGAAATCCTCGATTATCTGCAAGAAGAACAGAGAAAATAATAATGACATGGTAAAAAAATCTCATCTAACACTTTTTTTTCACGAGCAAATATTTTGCGAAGAAAACAATCGCCCATATATTCTGCTCGCGAACCGTAATTAGAACGAATTTCTAGTCCACTATGCGTCTGAAACGCGGTACGTTTCCAAAATCTTTTATTCATTTTCAGTCTGCTGAACTGAAAATTTCTCTAGCACTTCGAAAAATTAAAAAAATAAAAATAGGTGATATTCGGACATTGTTGAAGCAATAAGAATGGACTCACTCGTTGAGGCGCGTTGATGACACCGGTGTTGAATCCGAATTGAAACATGCCGAGAACAGCAGCAAAAATAGCATAGACTAGGAAACACGTCAAACCCTGACGAGTCCCACGACAGCATAACACAGAAAAATAAACATAATACATTTTCTGAAAAATTGTTACAAGCATTTATTTAAAAAAAAAAAAAAAAACTGACCTGCTCTACTAGTCGCATTCGCCTGCGTCTCCTAGAAGTCTGAATTTCTAATCGGTCCACACAATCCCTGAGCTCTTCAATCTCCTCTTTGGCAGCTTGCAGTGAGTCGATTTCACACTTCAAGCTCACCATGTCCCGTTTCACCTGAAAAAAAAAAAAAAAAAACCGCGAAAGTCGTAGACTCAAAGCCAAAAACGCCTTTGTTACAGTAGTTTTTTTTTACAGTGCACTACTGCAGTGAGTGACGACCCCTATATATGAAGATATAATGCTGTCATCCATGTTCAAACGCATTTTAATTTTCCTGGCCTGAAAAAAAATTCCCCAGACTTTGGAGTTGAAACTCATTCTCTCCACCTCAAATTTCTTCCGAATCCTTGCATTCTTTCGATTGACAGCATAATAGAGTTCGCAGCTTGATTTTTTTGAAGGGTTTTATTTCAATATAAATTTTTTTTTCTAGATCTTGTGTCATCGGAAGTGACAATATATTCAGGTTATTTTTCAACTTCTCTTCAAAAGTAAGTTTTCCTGGATGAATTGAGATGGTTAGAAACAATCGTGCTTTTCACCTGTCAATCTCATGACGCTAATAAATGTGGGGAGTTGGTTAGCATGAGACGCACTCCGATTTTTGGAGCTCTTCTTTGAGAAATGTGTGCTCATATAAAAATTTAGTAATATATTTTTGAATGTTTGCCATGGCGCAGATAGTAGTACGATAGAAACATAAATTTTACACCATGTACGAATTTATCGTACTAATATTATACACGCTTTAGAAAAGTTAGATGCCAAGACATTTTTTTTTGGCATCGGGTCTTTTCATCACACATTCCGAGATAATTGAGATAATTGAAGGTCTAATTCATCTGTTTCCAAGTCATAAACCTACCGACCCGGAAACTCAACAAACGATTCAAGGGTTTGGTTGTCGATGGACAATCATTTCACTCTAACAAATTTACTGAACAGTACTCAAATCCAGACTCTGGAGTAAATGTGTTCACAGAAGGCGCAAACCAGGTATTAACGTGAAAATATTCTTGCAGAAATTTTCTGGGGAATTCGCGGTCATTCTCCCACTTGAAACAAGATCCGTTTCTCGGAAAATTTTATCCAGGTCAACGAGGAGTGAATCCCTTCGGCTTACATTCGCTTGCTTCTTGCAACAATTGAAAGAACCTTAAAATAATGCAAAAAAAAACTTCCAATTTCCAAGCACAAAGAAATCCGTGAAACAGAGAAAGTTTCCATGATGATGCTCATCTTTTCTGGGGTATGCATGAAATCTCGTCGGAATTCAATAATGCTTACAGAAAGAAGATACCAAAATTAAAAATCCCTCTTGATTCCCCAACCTCTGAATCATCCCGCGAAGTATAGAAAATTCCACGGTCCGTACCATGAAAACTGAGTAAATTAGGTAATTATAGTACACGCTCAATTGCTTTTGAAAGTTATACCGAACGCATTAAAGTACAGTATATTTAAAATTAGAATAAGCCTATAGAATTGAATAAAACAAATCTCGGTGCTACCGTTTGTCAGTTTTCAATATTGTACTGTTATACAGTATTCCATCGTCAGATATGGGGAAAGGATTGGAAATTATCAAGTTTATAGAAACCAAAGCAAACTCAACAAACGATTCAAGGGTTTGGTTGTCGATGGACAATCATTTCACTCTAACAAATTTACTGAACAGTACTCAAATCCAGACTCTGGAGTAAATGTGTTCACAGAAGGCGCAAACCAGGTATTACCGTGAAAATATTCTTGCAGAAATTTTCTGGGGTATTCGCGGTCATTCTCCCACTTGAAACAAGATCCGTTTCTCGAAAAATTTTATCCAGGTCAACGAGGAGTGAATCCCTTCGGTTTACATTCGCTTGCTTCTTGCAACAATTGAAAGAACCTTAAAATAATGCAAAAAACTTCCAATTTCCAAGCACAAAGAAATCCGTGAAACAGAGAAAGTTTCCATGATGATGCTCATCTTTTCTGGGGTATGCATGAAATCTCGTCGGAATTCAATAATGCTTACAGAATGAAGATCCCAAAATTAAAAATCTCTGTTGATCCCCCAACCTCTGATTTATCCCGCGAAGTATAAAAAATTCCACGGTCCATATCATGAAAACTGAGTAAATTATGTGATTAGAGTGCATGATTAATTGCTTTTGAAAGTTATACCCAACGCATTAAAGTACAGTATTTTAAAAATTAGAATAAGCCTAGAATTGAATAAAACAAATCTCGGTGCTACCGTTTGTCAGTTTTCAATATTGTACTGTTATACAGTATTCCATCGTCAGATATGGGGAAAGGATTGGAAATTATCAAGTTTATAGAAACCAAAGCACAATTATTATCAACAGCGACGCTTCTGAATCCGATGAAAATGCATGATATGTATTGTCTTGCATGTTACATCGCATCCATTTTTCAAGGCACGAACGAGAGAGTTCTTTAAAATATTGATGGCATATCTTATACAATGTGGTAATTAGGGTAGGCTTTGAGCTAGATAGGCACCACTGTATAACTGCTGTACCTATTTCTGATCATCTACGTATTTTATCCTCCACACGAACCCTTGATCACGCACAACACTGCATGCATGCTCGCACATTTATGCTTTCTTTTTTTTTTTCCTCCATCCTCTCGTTATCTTTTGATCTGCTCGTTTCATGTACTAACTATGTTGGCTATTTTCAAATATTGCGCTGCTGTACACGATTTTCATCGCAGTCGAACGGACACGTGCAGGTGTCGGGAAGCAGGAAATTCATTCCTTTACTTTCATGACACGCGGGAGGAAATTGGGCCCCAGCGGCTCCGTGGAGTGATGTTGCTTTTGCCTGGTGCGGAATCTTAATCATGCTCCAGTTTCCTGCCTACGCCTTCTGCCTTTTCACACGCTGAATGTGTGTGTTGTGTGTGTATAGTGTATGTGTGTGTGTATATTGTACATAGGAAGATGAAAAAGGAGGCGAATCGAATGGGTGCTGTTGGATGATTAAATGAATCAAAGCTTTGTAGCTATTTTCTTTTTCTTTTTTTTCTTTCGTTTTCATTTCCACAGCATTCCTTCCAACCGAGTTCATCAATTCAATCGCACGGAATCAACGGATCGCACGAACGCGGAATGCTCAATCAGCCTCGGGGTTTTTATTTATTTTTTTATTTTATTTTTAAGTCTTTTCTTGGATGGGAATTGACTATACGCTTTTACGATCCACAATTTCCACAACTGAAATGCAGAAGTTTTTTCCGAGAAGGAATTTTGAATCCAACATCTTTTTGTAAGTGTTGTCAAAATGAATGTGCGGTTGTCTTTGAAAATAAATTTATCTTTGAGATCAGACAGAAAAGTTCCTGCTGGGAATCCAACAGAATTAATTCAAATTCAGTTTCTTATGAAACTGCTTGCTGGTTATTATGGATTTGTGTGTCTTTTAGACGAGAGCAAAAATGTTTGCTCAATATTTTTTCCGGTAATTCGGGTCAGATTGGATTTTGCTTGAATAATTCAGGTAATGTTCGCGCCTACATATTTTCGGTCATTTTTAGAGTTCAAATTTTTTTCGCCGATTCGCTTTTGAATAAGTGGAATGGCTCAGTTTTGTATGCGCATGTCTGAGGTTGGATTTACCCCTGAATATATGAGGAATGATCGAGTTATTTAGTTATTTTTCTTTCGGTGCTCACTTACGTTTTGTAAATATTGTATTAAATAAACCATTCAAGTAACTTTTTCTACGCTTGCTTTTCCTGCACGAGCTGCTGTTTAATATTTTTGGGCCCAACCGACAAAACTGTACATAATGCAAAAATGTGGATGAGGAAAATTGCGAGAGCTCGGGAAAATAGATGCGCAATTTATTTTTCGATGCATCATCAGACGACAGAAATAAACTTGAAAAAATTTCGCAAGAAAAAGCTGAGGAAAATTCGACTGAGAATCGCATGAAATAGATTACAGCATCAGACAAAGTTACTCAATAAAATCAGAGCTGAGAAGACAAGACAAACTGAAAGCTAACCTCGCATCTGATTCCCCGCGCTATGCCCAATTTAGTACCAGAAAATACATACAGTATCCCACAAAAGCAACCCCGAAAACTCAATGACGAATAAGTGAGTGGGGCGGGCAGAAGAACCCTTCGGGCAATGATATGCATCATCCCGGGGAAAAACAGTGTAACAAGAGGGATAAAGGGATCGTATCCAGTTACTCGTGACCCATTACCAGGGATTCCCTCATCATCTCGAAGCTGCAGCAACTACTACTACTGCTATACTACTGCAACAGCAGCGGACAGAGGAAAAGCTTATTTCCGCCACTCAAAGAAGCTCATCTCGTCGCTGCTAATAATCTCCGCTGTCGCTCGTGCATTATTGAGATGGGGGAAAAATAGGGAGAAATATTATTCGTCCCCGCATATTTATAACTCTGCTGCCTTGACTTATATTTCTCCCCCCTTTCCTCTCTAGGAACCCTCGAGGCCGCACAGACATTATTCAAATGAGACCCCCAGGGCTCCGAACTAATCCAATTTGTCACCCCGCGGGGTATGGGCGGAAGCCAGGCATGACCTGGTCCCAAGTCTAGAGATTTAATTTCCTAACTCTAGAAAGATCAACTCAAAGCTCTATTAATTACGTAGTTGCTGACGCGGTTGTTTCTTGTGTGCGAAAACGAATAATACTTGCAGTGTTTGCTGAATATTTAGAAAAACAATTATGCGTGAATGTACGAGTCTACATTAATACAATACTGTAGAGAGAACAATTTTATGGGATCTTTTAATTTGATTATGGAAGATCACGAAATTCCCGACTATACCCTGTCTTTCCTCGAAGACAAATTCGATCGTATTTTGAAAAATACTTGGCACTCGAGAATATAATGGGTTTTCCGTTTTATATCCGAAGCATAAAAATAAATCTCCTGAAAGTGGTATTTCGAGAAAACGATGGAATTATAACGAAATAACTTGAAGATTTCTCAGGAGCGGGAAAAATTATACTTAATTTAATTTGTCTATAGGAGGTATTGTAATTACTGACGCGAATATTTATCTGATGCAAAAACAAGTTCTATTCGCCTTTCTTGTCATTTAAACAAATTTTTAATAAAAAAAAAACTGAAAATGAGCCCATCAGCTACAATTGGGCGCTTTTAAAATTTCCTTTTTGCATTTTTTTCGGCGAGACTCACATACGTTCGACCCGTTTTAGTTGCTGTTTAAAAAAAAAGTTGAATGTGTGATTTGTAAAGAATAGTTGACAACGAAGTTATTGTAACTTTTGCAGCTGCGATAGAACGAAATCCGGGCCAATTTTCAACCAAGAAATGAGGACGAGCAGCAGTAAAAATGAAGATGATAAGAAACAAAGTGAACTGAAAAAAAAGATCCGTGAAAATTAACACGAATAGGAAACTCAACTACTTATTGCTGATGATTCTTGTGTCACCGTGTTACACGATATAAAGCATTTGGTTTGTCGTGATTTATCCAAGCGTGGCATTGGATTGACCTCCAAAATGAGAAAAAGGCCGCTTTTATTGCGTACTGTATTTTCAGTCAACAAAGCGAGTTTTCTGATTTTTTTTTTTCACGCAAAAAGTAAAAGCCTGAAATGTAGACGGCATCCTGCATGAAAATAAAATACAAACATGCAGCGAAACAATAACCAGAAGTCCGGGACCGACGCGAGACATCAAACAACTGCTAGCTGTCAACACAATCTCGAAGTCCAATGTTCACAAACAAACTTCTTCAAGAGCCCTGTCTCGAATTCTATGGCATATAGCTAGAAGAATTTCACGATTCGCGCTTTTCCCGATTTCTTCCTAAATATATATACAGTATATAAAGTATATACAGTATATATATATCTTTTTTTTCCTGCCTTGGTCTCTACATACATGTACCAGCAGAGGCTCTCTCGCCATCTCATTAAGGCACACGCTGCAATCGCGAGGGAAACAAGCTCGAGGATTGCTTCACAAGTCACCAGGGATTTCGTTCCCCAGCAGTGCTGGTGCTGCTGCTGGTATATTGACGGTACCAAAAAGCTCTTTCGCCATTCCAAGAAAAATCCTTTTTCTGCGAGTCAGAGAGGTTTTTTTTTCTCTTATTTTCTTTTCTTTTGATCAAAAATAAATTCCACAAGGACCAAGCATGGTATAAATAAGGCCCAAGACTGTTTTTATTGAGGACGGCGGAGGATCAAACGAAATGGAGATCAGAAGACCTTTTAGCATTGCCACTTTTACCCAGCGGATGTTTTTTTTTTTTTAGCGAGAAATACTTTGGGGAACTGTTCAGTTTCGACGAAGATGCACATGCGTCATAAGGAACATATATGTGCCGACCAACTCATGTATTTTTAGATTTCTGAGCAAAATGAAAACAGAAAAAAACCGAAAAATTCAAGAAACTGGATTCAACAAAAATGAACGCGAGATCCATAACGATTTCAGCACAGCAAGAGGCTTGAAGGTTGAAAATGAATTGAAAGGTATGACGAAAAAGCCGGGAGCCAGTTCGAAAACTTGTAAAGTTGCTCTGTTTTAATTTGAAAATGCATCGAATAAGCCAAAGGTGGAGGCAATACTGTAGCTCCAAATTTAATCCAACTAAGTCGTCACTTTTCTTGCTTTTTAAAGCTGATATGACTGAAATCCAATCATTCAATTTCCAAGGACAGAAGTAATGCATATTTTCAAGTTTATTAAAGTGAAATTACAACATCGTAAGCAAGGCATGAACATAAAATGATTCGCATTCGGGCTTGTATTAATTTACATTCTTTGTTTGTGTGCTCAATTTCATCCCTCATATTTCTTCCAAGCACTGTAGCGTGGAGGAATTTATTTCCCCTATTATACTTCGACTTTTGCCAATGGCGATGGATTCAAACTGATTCCAAGCGCCCGAACATGACAAGATAAAGTACAAAACGAGGACATTTAAAAATATTTGAGATTCAATTTCGTTTTCGACAAGATTCAGCATTTCAAGAATTCATCTCAATAAGGATATTCAAAAATAATTAGGCGCACGTGTCACATAGGAACACGGGTTTTCTTATATTTTCTTTAAAAACCCGGTTTTCCCTTTTTACTAAATTACTTTGAATGCAGTAATTTTTCTTCTTTCCTCAAAGGAATATATCCCGTAGAAAATTAAACATAATAAAAATGCGTGCTCGAATGTAGCTTTCGTAGTGCATATCAATCATTGCTTGCAATGTTGAACATCAAAATTAAAAAGTTTTTTTGTCTTTGCATTTGAGTGATTTCCGTGGTTTAATCCCATCACCGACAATACTGAAGAGGATCCTCACCTGTATATAGAGGATCTTAGGGTCACCCTTTCCCTTTCCGCCTCGTCATGCCATGTTTATGAATTCGAATTATCTTCCAATAATTTTTTCTCAATAAGGAAATCTCAAATAAACAAATATCCCAAGGAACAAGACAGGTATTCTATTAATTAATTGTTGCGTCTTTTTTGTTTAGCCAAAACAGTTTTCCAAATAGGAATTTCGGTATAACTGAAGAATAAGGAGCGTGTCTTGTTTACGAGGAGATACCTTTTTTTTTTCAAAATGCTTTGCTACAAACCCAAGGTGCGCATCTTAGTTGAGGACGAGTGGCACACTCAATTAAATACGGGTATACAATATATGCATACACTATAAGCAGCAGGTATATAATATGCATATATTTTACAAGTTAGAGAGTATATATGGAAAGGAACCAATAACGAACCTCGTGCATCTCGGACGTGCATGAGTCCACGGAGCGGGTGAGGTCATTGAGCTGGTGCTTGATTTGGTTGAGAGTGAGGCCAGCGTTGCCATCGGG